AATTTTTTTAAATCAAGGCAGAAATTTTTATATTTATATCGACACGTGCAATTGTGCTTACACGTTTATTATTTCATAATTATGCATTTAATTATAAATGTTTACGCTGACGTGAGAAATATATTATACGAAGTCAAAAACAATGACGCGAAGAGGGAGCGTACCCTCGTCACCGCGAATTAAAGTAAAAGGGCAAATGGTGCAGTAGGACGCACGCGGTATTAAAGAGGCCGGGGTGCCGGAAGGAGAATGATTAATCGTCGAGCAATCTCTCTTATGCGTTCCTAAAAAAAGGACGAAAATAATGAAAGACATGCATGAACGAACACAAGAACAACCGATGATATCAATAATATGACATGTTTACGAAATATATCGTACAATCTTGATCTATGGCGTTCACTTTGCTAATATGGTACTTATTATGTATAAATTCATATAAGGGATATCCGATCGAGATAAAAAATGTATAGCGACTTATAGACAAAAAAAATTTTCTAATTAAAAAATACAGTAATTTGGTATTCAAAAATAAAAATCCATTTCACAAATATTGTAAAATTTGTTATCCTCTAATTAAAGAAGATAGATTTACCATAAATTTGCAAATGCCAATTTAGAGAGAAAACATTTATAAAAGCATTAAAATAGTCTTACTAAATTAAATCTATGGTTTAAAATATATTCTTGAAACTTAATTTATAAAGATTTTTATTATATTATTATAATAAATATTCTCAAAGATCCTGAAAGCTACGAATCTCCTAGGTTTTATTTCCAGAGATTATATTTTAAATAATTTAAATGAAGAATTAAAAATTTGCAAGCACATCAGGTATAAGAGCTTGATAGGAAAAGATCAATTCCTTTCAGAATATATTCTTGCAGTGTGCAGAATCTTCTATAAGATATCTCGTATACAAAAGAGAGTAGACTCGAGATGTATCAACGATCTAATATATTCCTTTGATACGTGAGATCGCACACATCCAATTTTCTGAATAAAAGACACAGCTTTACATATTGCTGTACTAAATATTTTTCGAGTCTAATGATATATTTACTTGCACTACCTGAGTGAACATCGTGCAGCTTCTATATCTTTAGAAATGATTCTAAAGATGTGTATATGGGGTAAATAAAATTCACATAAGATCCTTTTAACAAAATAAACAAACAATAACTAAAAAAATCTATAAAGCTTTCTACCATAAAATATTGCATTTTTGCTATAAATAAAATAATAGCAAAATATATATTGCATATCTGCATAATTCTGTTTTATAATATTCATTCTAGTAAAGTAAGCCTCTAATAAGAACAACAATGTAATAAAAACATATCTTTATATATATGTATGTACGTGGCTCGATTTTTCATTTTCTAGTTAACTTGTAACTAAAATCAAAATCTGAGACATAACTGAAAAACACTGGCAACAGATTTCAATCTATCAGAAATCGTATATCCCAGAGAATATGAAGGTTTCTGATAAGTTAAAACGTATTATTCCTTCCTTGCTTGTATTTTTCTATTGTGTCTGAAGATTTAAATTTAATCTTATTAAATTCAATGATAATTGTTGTATATTTCTAGCTATGATTAATTGTTAAACTAATAATTTTGTGGTAATTTTAAAAATTACTACAAAATCATCAGTTGAGCGATTAATTAATCGTAGTTAGAAAAATACAATTTTTACATTATCATCATCAGGTTAAATCTACCCACAAGTTAATCAGAAAATGAAAAACTAGACCTCAGTTCTAATTACTAATAAAAAAAAAAACACCGAAATGCTTTTCAAAACATAAGGAACGATATAAATAAGAAAAAAATATGTAAAAAGGATATATTTTAACAGCTTCCTCCTTTATGCTCTTACTTAGGTAAACTCGATAAATGTGAAGTCTAAAGCAAAGTATAATTCGAATTTGAAAGGTTACAGACGATTGAGTGTTTAATACATAAGCATTAGCATCAACAAAGAATGCGAGTGCTATTCCGTGTATTTATGGATGCACAAGGAAAGAGGTTACGCTGCTCAAAGTCTCAATATATCCAATCAATATTGTTCTAACGTGAGTCTTATTCTGCATAAACATGAATATGTCGGCACGAAGGTTACACGATGTGACATCTCAATACGTCTAATCAACATTGACAAACGTAAAGGCTGGCTTCGTGTGGACGCGTAGAGAAGGAAGAGATTACATCGCGAGACATCTCAATGTACATAATCAACAGGAACGCGAGCCCGGATGCCGCTCTGTCTATCTTATAGATGCATAGAGCAACTCATGTTGACCGAAATTTCAATATGTCTAATCAACATCATTTGGACAATGGTATTACTCCGTATACTATACCTCCGAGATCTTATTATCGTACGATAAATTTCATGGATGTTTTGTAGCATGATGACACGATTTGAAGACTATGGCCGGTATTCATAGTCAGTTCTTATATTCAAGACCGTCTTAAGTTCAGTCTTAAGGAGTTACGAACCAATCAGAGGACCGCTTTGCTCAACGCAAAACAACGTACATCTATATTAACATATGTTTAGTAACTAATAAACCGAAATTTTTTAAATTAAATTTAATATACTTTCTTAAAGCAAACATTATTAAAGATATGTTAAAGAAGATTTTAAAGTAAAGATATTATTAGTTATTACTGTTATTAGACATTACTAACTTAATATAAAATATCATATATATTATATTGTATATAGATTAAACATAGATCATATAGGAATTTATGTTAGAGATTATGTTAGGAATTATATTATGTTACATATATATCATACATCACACTGTGTATTATTCATTATATTCATTTATCTATTATAATCCATTATAATATATGTTCATAATATTGTAAAGAACTGTAAACCAGAAGTCATTCTAAGCCACAAAGCAAAGATTAAATAAATAAATTAATACACTTTCTTAAGTTAAATTAAACTTAATCTAATTAAAAGTTATTAAGTATACATATTAAGTAGGAACAGACTTACAAAAGTGAATTAAAAAAATAAGTCCAAAAAAATTATATCTAATGACATTACGAATTTAACAGTGTATGATTGTGATTTAATATTTGAAGACAATTTAAGACGGTTTCTTAAATATAAAAACTAATTGTAAACACCAGTCTTCTGTACACAAAAAACTTAAGATGTAAGTAGTAAGTAAATCAACATTTTGAATTCGTTATTACTTATATCTTACTGCCTTTTTTATGTGTCACAACCTTCGCAATGAATCATTTCATCTTTGGTAAACAAGAATGTAATGAGTCACTATATGTTATATAGTACTAGCTGCGTTCGGTATGACCGCTCACGCGCTGTAAGCTTCACTTTATCTTCCTTCAGCATGTAATGATTAATGAATGATAAAGATAGAATGAAGATTACAGCGCATGAGTGCCCAAACCAAGCGCAGCAGCCATTATATCATCAATAGATACTTTCTATTTGATAACACATAGTCGACATAAGTATCATTCTATCATTGGAATGCTAAGAAAGACAGAACAATGTTTATGCCGACTTGTGTCATTAAATGGCTAATTTCTTCACTTCAAGATTACTTTACCCATGAGATATCTTCTAAATATCTTCCAAATATTTCATTTATCTTTCAGACAAAGTTATCTAGAAATAAAGAAATTGGCTATAAATGGAAAGCATTCTGTATCTCTTAAAGATCGCTAAAAAGAGCTCTATATCGATTGGCTATATAAGAAAAGTTTTGGAGATTGAGAAACTCTATTCTGTAGCCGATGAATGGACTTGAAAAGATTTCTCGTACGACAAATAAATATTATTAAATTATTTCATCAACGATACATGTGTAAACGCTGCACGTCAATGGCCGCTTTCAGCGGAATGTTTTATAACAAAATTTTGTAACTGTTGAAAGTTTTCTTCTTCGCTGAGGTAGGATTATTCCTTTATGCCCGTTTCTACTAATTTAGTTTAACTTTAATGTCGGTTCAACTAATTCTTCATCCTTCCTTAGTTCTAAGAATTAGAATAAGATAAAGAGTAAGTTAAACTGAGATTAAAATAAATCTCTATATTGGTAGAGAAACGAGCATTACATCTAAAAGTATAATTCAATCAGCGAATCGAAAAATTTCTAATAGTTTCAAAATAAACATTCTGAACGAGCTCATTGACTGCACTTAGCAGAGAAAGCAACTTTGAAACTGTTGTAAAATTTTTTTAACGATTGGTTTGTACGTACATTTAGATTCAGTGAGAAATCAAGAAAAAAAAGAAGAGAAACCAAGATAATATTAAAAAATTTTACAACAGTTGTAAAGCTATAACTTTCTTTGCTGAACACATTCAAATAAAAGATCCAAAGGGAAGATCGTATCACGTGTGTGAATATCACGCGTATCAACATCAGCAGGCGGCAGTGCCGCTCCACACATCCATAGACATCCATATGAGAAAAGAAGTCGCATGGTGTATAGAACCCCGATATTGTCCTGATAAAAAACGCTATCCTAGATGTATATGAGAAAAGATCACGTATCCTGGAACTCCACAACCCTTGTATTCTGTAATTCGTTACACGACAATAACGATATCGTTTTATTACGCTGCGCAATTTTTTTTATCACGTACAAAATCTGCGCAGTAACGACAATATAAGCAGGTACGCTAATCAACACGAACGAGCCCTACTTCGTGCATCCATAAATACGCAAAGACGTCGCGTTACAACGCGTTACAATGCCGTTACGTCGCGCGTCATCTCGACGCATGCAGTCGGTATCAATGATGCTGCGTATGTGTGTACATACATTCGCGGTACACTTTAGCATGAAGGAAGAAGAGTTACATCGAAACGTTCGCGCTGTCCAGGTGGTCGCAAAGGACCACCATCATCACTGTCATCGTTGTCGACGACGACGACAGTAGCGGCGGCGCGGCGCGCAGCGCGAGCGTTGGGAAAACGTGTGCAGGATGTACTCACCGTGTGGCTACCACTGGGCCTAGGAAGGGTGGTATTGCTGCCGGAGGTAGGGGTAGACACGGGGGTGGCGAGCCGCTGTGGTGTCTCCGTGCGACGAAGACGATTCGTAGACATGAGGCGGCACGGAACTCACCTCGTCGACTATGCCGCTCGTCGTGCACACAGGTACCGTGCCACACGCACCACGTACACGCGCCGTCATCCGGCGTGGTTGTGGCAGAGAGGCGAAGGGGAAAAAAAACCCGAGAAAACCGAGAAGGCTTCGAGGGAGAACCCGGGTACTCGTCGGCACACCACACACACACGCACGCACGCACGCACGCACGCACGCACGGCACCTGAACGGCGGCGAGAGGGGCAGGGAAGCCGGAAGAAAAACACTCGCCGGATAACTCGTCACGAGGCTCCGAGAGGCGCACCAGGAAGCGTAGTATTTTGACGATGGTGGTGGTGGTGGTGGTGGTGGTGGATTAATATGGCCGACTCTCGGTTGACGAGGAGGCTCGGATCACGCGTAAAAGCGAGCGGTTGCAACGCTGACGGTGGCGGCGACGAGGGCTCGGTGCTGCCGGCGCGACGACGAGATAGCACGGCGACGCGACGGTGACGACGACGACAACAGCGGCAGCGACGCACTTCGTTAACGGCCTTGTAGCTCGCGTACAACGCGCACGCATTTATTTCACTCGCGGGGAAACCACCACACACCACCCACGAACACGATGACTTGGCTGGAGCTTTAAACGCGACGTTGAAACACACTCAATGTACGCGTTATCTCTCTCTCGCTCTCTCTCTCTCTCTCTCTCTCTCTCTCTCTCTCTCTCTCTCTCGCTCTCTCTCTCTCTCTCTCTCTCTCTCTCCCCCTCACGCGCTGTCGTTCCGTTTTTCCTTCGTTGGATTCTTTCCACGCGCCAGCGGCCCGGCGACGATCCTCCGCTGATCAATCTCTTCTTTCTTTACTCACTCGCCCGCTCTCGCCGTCTTAATCTTATTCCCCGGAGCAACTTTAATCGCGCGATCTTCCTATCCCTCTCTCTCTCTCTCTCTCTCTCTCTCTTCTCTCCCGGTTTCTCTCTTCACGTAAAAGTGCGATGTTTCCGGGATACGTTTTCACTCACGATGGTCACGTATGCGAGTTTTGGAGCACTCGTTATCTCTCTCTTTCTCTCTCCGACTCTTTCTATCTATCTCTCTCTCTCTCTCTCTCTTTCTCTCTCTCTCTCTCCTTAGCTAGCTGTCCGTCTCTCCTTCCTCCGTCCTTTTTCACTCTCTCTCTCTCTGTCTCACTCGCTCACTCGTTGTCCCTGGACGTTCCGTAGTTGATCGTCGTCGGGAAACACCGAGGGGGAGAAACACACCGTATGCAGTTGATGAGAATCTTACGGCACTTGACGGGATCAACGGGCCACCACCTTCGCTCTCTCTGACGTTCGTTCGTCGCCCGCGACGATGTTCGACGCACAACAGCACGATCCAGACGGCGCACGCGGACGTACGCACGCACGCACGACTAATTTCACGCTACGCGAGGACGTGACGCGACCTCGGTGCGAACGACAACGTCAACATCACCACCGTACGCTTTCGTGGCGGCCATCTTTTTCGGGGATACAGTGGCGATACGCGAATCGCGGAACGTGAAACGCACGCGCGTACATGGGTGTAAGTGCGCGAGGGCGCTGCGCGCGTGCGAGCGGAACTGGCGCCACCCCGCGCCGCACCGCGACGCCTTTTTCGTATCCGGCTCTGTGTGAAGTCTTGTGTGTTGCGTGTTCCGTGCGAGAGAGCGGCACGCACGCAGAAACGTGTTGAACGCGAAAGCCGGCTGTATTTTTTTATCGTCTGGGAGAATGTGTATCTTCAAATAAAGCGTGTCACATTACAAAATGTGAGCAAATTTATTGGAATATTTATAATTTCATTGGTTTAGTGAATTTTCTCACTTTTGCAATTTACACCTCGTTTCAAAATACAATTGACTATGACTTCAGCTGTTCGTGTTGCTTCAAATTCCCAACAATTTTTGTATTTAAGACGAGACAAATATATTCGAGTTGAAAGGTGCAAACAACGCGAACAGATCTGTATCCCTCATGTAATTTACAATATAAACGCGTTTAAATCAATTCTGTTTTGCCGACTTTGACGTATCTAATATGTATGGATGTTTTTTTTATAGCTAAATTAATGTACATTTTTTATTTTGACGACAGCGAGAAGTTGTGTAATGCAGCAATAAAAAACGAATCTTCCTTACAAGAGAACATAAATATATTATTCAAATCTTATCCCCAACATATTTAACAAATACGTTGCCAATTTTATGTTAGTTATAACTCCTGCAATTTATTTCTACAAAAAATATGACTACAGAAAACGTTTTTATTAAAACAGAGTTTTTAGTTTTTCTTTTAAAATTCAATGAAACTGATATTATTATTTCCGCGCATTTCTCTTGTATTTTCCACAAGTAACGAAATATAAATTAAATTAGAATATACTTAAAACTTTTTAAATAGAAGTAATAAAAATTTGTGATATAGTTCCAGATATTTCTTGTAAAGAGTTGCGAGAAAATAACAATAGTAAATTTGATCATTATAAATACTGCCTTGAATTAGTACATACCTATTAAAGGCTATTTATATGAAGTAAATGCAATAGCATAATATATAATTCTTTATGATCTCTAATAATAAAAGAATATGTGATATTGTGTTAAATAGCACGATATTAATTATTAAACATTTAATTTTTTCGTTTAAAATATTTATATGCTTTTACATTTAACTTTGGTAAATGTGTAGCAGCTTTTAGTACGTCCTAATTTAGAGTAATGCAAGTGGCCGAATTTGTTATAAATTATATTATATCCATATATATTTATTTTGTGTATCCATTAAGTTTATTCGCGTTATTTAGAATTTAACTTTTTTTTATAAACTTTTACACTTAAAACGAGATAAATATATTCAGGCGTTAAAAAGAGAGAGGAACGAAGATATTACAATGCAAACAGACCTAAGGCCGAAATCAGGCTGGAATCAAACTATGCATTAAAGATTGAGATTAAAAATGGAAAGATTGAAATTTGGCCAATCAAAATAATAGGAGCTAAAATTCCTTTATCTTTATTAGTCAAATTTTAATTTTCAATCTTCAATCTCAATCTTCAATGCGTAATCTGGGGCCGGAATTAGACTACGCATTGAAGATTGAAATTTGACTAATTCGGCCTAATGATTTCAAGTTTATAATAAGTCAAGATTGTATTGGAGCACATAGTCGAGAGAATTATTGCTCCGTTCGCGTTCCTGAGTGGCACGACGCAACGTGGTATATTAACTTGCCATTTACGACCGTCGAATGAGCATGCGACACCGGTTAGTCTCCGTGGAAGGAGACGAAATTGCATGCACAAGTAGTGTACATGCGAATGCTCCAGCGGCTATGCCTATGGCGACCTGAGTTTACGTTTACGGAGTAAATGACTTGGATGAAAGGAATGTGGAACGGACTGACCGACCATCAGATGATTTGTGGCGCCACGTTTGACTATCTCGAAAAGTCGCGACTAAAATGTCGCCGGTAATCACAGTTTACGCCACTGAAAACTTGCCAACGCAAGTTATGCAAACGCGTCAATTGAATTGAGAGAAAATTAAAAATTTAAAATATATATAAATCAGCTGATAAAATAAAAAGATATAGTTTATCTTTGCGTATTATCAATATAGAAATTTTACGCTTCGCAATTATATACTTTCCTTGAAATTTTTATTATTTAACAGACTAATTTATTGTTTCAACGTAAAAAATATCCTACGTACTTTAAGATTGATATTTTAAAACCGATCATGAATAATGTCTATTTGTTATCAGCAGTTGGCAGGAATAAATGATAACCAAACGTAAAATTTTACCAAATAACATTTGATTAATTTTTTACATCAAAATGTAAGAATATTTTCACTAAAATCATTAATTTACAAAAAAAAATTGTCATTTAAATCGTATTCTTTAATTTTAAAAAATAATTGCTCTTCAAAATTTATATTTTAATTAAAAAATTATAAATGTGTATACCAGTTTGTATTTATTTGTTCTAATAAATATATCTACTTTTATCAATTTTAAATGTGCTGATTTTTTAAATTTCACGATGCTAATTTGTTCTGAATTTTGAATACAATACATTCCAAATTTCACAAATATTATTTTTATGAATAAAATACAAATTTTTACTTCTTGTAAACAAAATATTTGATAATTATAGCAACATATAATATTATGTAACTTTTAGATTAGTATAATACATAATATATTTTTAAATGTTTTGATTAAAAAAACCACTTAAGTATATTCTTAAAAAAACGGAGTGTAAAGCGGAAACTAAAAAAGGAAAATAAAATCAATTCTTTCAAAAAATAATTCTATTTATATTTGATGTTCTATAAAGGCAATTCCAAAAAAAATACAATATTTTTTGTATTGTGTACTTAAATATCAAATATGAAATTTATTTAAAGACCAAACTTTTCAATGTGTTAAAAAAATATTATACAAACGTGTTTTTATAAATTTGCTCTGTTATATCGTAATTATATATAAAAAATGTTTTTTGTCAATAGACTATATTCAATTGCTACAAATAAATGCTTTTGCTGATTGCATATACACTCGATTTTTTTTATGTACATTAGGCATTTCAGAGCAAAGCTTGAATTTTCAGTGCTGCAGATTACTCGCGCATCTGTAGCACCAAAAATTTAACTTTACCGAAATTATATCAGGTTCATTGATTTCTATCCTTTGTTGTATAAACATCTTAAAGAAGGTGGAATGTTTCGTTGTACTCCATCGAAACTTGTGTTTTGAAAAAATAGAATATTATTTGTACATAGACAGCTTTCGACTAATTTGATCAATGATCACTCGCACACACAACTGCGAGATTAATATTTTATAATTTCCTGCACTGCCGCAACTATGTTACGGGCACTGATACCATAATTGTCGAGCAACACTGTTGGCGGACCAGAACGCGGTACTTCTAGCACCGCTAACTTCTTGACTATTACATTTCTTTCCAAAGCAACTGCAGATTGAACCGCTTCTCCTAGACCTCCTTCCGCATAATGATCTTCAACGGTGACAATTCTACCGCCGACCTCTTTGGCATTCTTTATAATAGTTTGTGCGTCAATGGGTTTAATTG